AAGTGGATCTCAGTCACGTGGCGATACGTTATCGCAGAAGATCCTGACCGACCGCCTGATAGCTCCTGAACGTAGCTCCTGGAGCTACGTCTTGTCAATAGAGCCTGACCTGCCTGCAGTGCCTATCCGTAGCAATAGAATCTATCCCGCCCGAAGCGTTCCCCGTTCACCTGTATTCCCGAGCCTGACCCGTGACAATAATTTAATCTTTTATATTAAAGAAAATAAATTCTCTAATATATTAATACCTATAACTTTAAAGTACCTATCCTATTTAGGATTTATTTACTAGTTATGCAAAAGCTCCTTCTTATATGCAGCAAACTATGTCCCACCATGATCCCCAACCTGAGCAGAGAGACGGCTTAGGTATTAAGGGATTGTGCTAATTAGGTATCCTACTATAGGTTGCCAAACCCAAAGTAAAGGGTATAGAAGTCAGCCCTACACCAATCACTAATTAATAAATACATTAAGGGAAAGCAAATACACTATATATATCTAGCCTAAATAAAAGGTCTAATTAGATTATAGTAAGATATAAAAAGCTACTATTCTCCTCCAGAATTTGTTGATTGTCTTTTAAGATAATCTCTAATTCTTCTTCTTGGAGTTTCGCAGGCTCTGATTTACAAATAGTTCCATCCTCGTCATCAGAATCCCATTCAACCTCTTCCAAATCATCACCGTCCTTATTACCCATGGCTAAATGATGAGCTTTAGCCTTTTTAGGTCCAGTAATGACAGGTGTATGGTTAACATTATTCGATGGCCATATTCGCTTTTCAGAGAGCTGAACAGTGGAATACGATATGGCAAAAATCTGTTCCCCGACAACATGTCGCGTATAAGACTGGGTGTTGTTGGTAACGCTATTGACCCCAAGAGAAATGTCGAGGAAACCAGAATCTGGTACGCCGCAGGCTTGGCCAACGGGAACAGATGCATCAAAGCCACCGCCTCTGCCAGTCGCATTCTCAGTGGTCCAGGTGGCCTCAGACGCTGTTATGAAGCCAGTGACAAGATAACCGCGGTTTCCCTTGGCCTTTGAAAGGAGATCCCGCGCATCTTTTGCATAATCCTCGTTCTCCATAAGTTGTTCAAAATAAATTTCCGGACTACTAAGAACGTATTTCTTGACAAGGTCACTCTCTAGCCTGATGCTTTCCTCTCTATTGCGAGAAAGATTGATGTTGAGGAGGGCCGATAGTTGGACTAAGAAGCCACGATCTCTGGCAACAGTAATAGTCTGGTCGGAAGAGTTCGAGACTTCAGGGTCCGGAACAATGGATGGAAGGATGTCATTGGTGTTGTGAGGGGGCCGTCTGGGATCAGGATAGGGTGCAAATCTGTCCAAAGGAGATTCTATAGAGGTAACCAGTCTGCCAAGAAGGCTAGCGGTCTCAGTAGCTGGCAGGGGGTCACGAAGGACAAAAAACTTCCGCTCCTGGTAGCTCATTTAAGCGATGTCAGACGATTTCAGGGAGTAAGATGAAGTGCCTACGGAATTGGGACTCGCGCTATTATATATACCTCATTAATAGGAGGGAGGCCTCTAATCTATTCCTAAAATGGAGATGTGATATGCAGGACAACCAACACATGGTTGCACCCGGCAAGTGGGGGAGAAAAGCATCGAACAACACAGCCCCTGCAAGGCTTTCTGACAATTGAAAACAAACAGAAAAGAAAAGCCTCACTTCTGTAATCTTGGAATCTGCCTCGCAAAATGTCTCAGAGATCGACTTTTTTGGTGCAGATTGTCTGTCAAGGGCGCGTCGATGGAGGCTGGGCAGTCAATCTCGTCAAGAATGGGGAGACTATACAGCAAGACATTCGGATCGCAGACCCTCTCACTTCAGAACAGAAGCAAACCTGCCGTTGGTATCTGCAGCAGTATGTTCAGCTATCTCCCTTCTCTGTTGACAGAGCTGCAGAAGCCAAAGCTATCCTTGACAAGTATCCGCATCAGCTTCTTGATCAGCTACCCTTGCGGCGAGCTCTACTCCCTCAGCTCCAACAAGGAGCTTATAGCCTTGATCCGATCACCCTCCTTGTTGATGTCTTTGAGCCGCCCAATGGCATCGAAAGCGCGTCGGATGACAGCATACATCAGTTGTTCTGGGAAACACTGGAATACCCAAAGCTCTGGAGCCATCCCAATTGGAAAGTTATTGTTCGCCGGTGCTTGAATTATCAATGCACAGTCCTGCCTCCGCAACTCCACAAAGTTGCCTCCTGGGATAACGCGGATGGTTCAAAATCGCTCAACGTGCTCTTGGTCGTTGCAAGAGACCTAACCAATGACCCTTCAGTTTATGAAGATGTCAGCCCCTCTATCGCCACCAACGCGCTTCTCAAGATTCGCGATGAGCTCAACCAGCATCCCTCTGGCAACAAGCTCGAGGTGGAGATTGTGAGGCCAGGGACATTCACGGCTTTCAAAGAACACTTGCGACATAGTGAAAAGACCAGAGGGCCGGGTTACTTCCACCTCGTTCATTTCGACACACATGGAACGGTAGCGCTCAAAAAGGGCAGAGCGGCCAAATACGGTCTTCTGCATTTCTCACATGCCGACCATGACAAAACTGACCCAAAGCCGGGGGTCCAGATTGCTAAGGTGTTGAGGGAACATCAAATTCCATATGCTGTGCTGAATTCCTGTGAGTCAGCATCGGCTACCGCTGGCGACAATGCAAACGTTGCCAAACTTCTTCTCAAAGCAGGGTTGCGTGGTGTTATTGGGATGTCCTTCAAAATAGCTAGCAGCTCAGTCACTATATTCCTGGAGCGGTTCTACAACGACTTGCTTTGCCGTGGGAAGTCGTTTGCTGCCTCTGCTGCTGCTGGCCGAATGGCACTGCGATTGAATCCGATGCGTCCAGCGAGATACGGCCTCGATCGCCACTTGAGTGACAGCTTAGTCGCTGTGGCCTATGAGGAAGGTAATACTTCATCCTCATTCTCCGATAATTTTGGCCCTTCCTTCAATGATCATTGGAGTCTTGGCTCAAACACTCTGGTTGGAGGCTCGGCGTCAGCAAGATGTCAAGGCACTTCTCACCTCAACCCCACAAGTGACGAACAGGAGCTTGTTGGGAGAGATTTTGAGATCTTACGTCTCGAGAAAATCCTCATGAGGAGTCACGTACTTTGTATGTCCGGGGCTATAGGAGTTGGAAAGACCGCTCTTCTCAAGCATGCAGCCCGTGTTTGGAAATCGACGCAGTTGGTACAGGTGATAGTACATGTTGAGATGGAAAAACAGTTCGATCGGTCTGGTGAAAAGCTACTAGAAGATATTCTGCGGCAGACCCTAGTCCAGCTCAGTGATGCAAAATCACAGATGCTCCTATGGACCATGAGTGCAAGTCCGAATAGTGTTGCCTCTTATGACAGCCTCTTGCTTGTCGACATACTCAAGAACCTCCTCTCGCTGGCCAACGCTGTTATTATTTTGGAATACCATGAGCCAAGTCACCTGCAGTTATTCATAAACAGCAGCGTTGAAAGCACGACCAAGAGCGTGTTTGAAACAGTTCGAATGCTACTATCGTTGGCTCGCAGTCCGAAAGCAGAGGCAGACACCCATCTATACTTCATCTTGACTCAGAGACGGAGGTCTTTGCGTGGGATGGAAGAAGTACTAGGTTGCCAGCTCACATCATACCGGATTGATCTCGAGGGCCTTAGACTGTCAGATGCCATTGAACTATCGAAGAAAGTGCTGAATAATGCTGGCGAGCCAGTACAAGACTGGGTGTCCGAGGATGTGGACTCCCTGGAGATTGTAATTCATTTATTACAAGGCATCCCTTCAGCTTTGATATCGATGTTGCCCCTTCAGAGGTCTCGTGGCATTCCCTGGAGGCGTTTTCATAGAGAGCTGGAGAAAAGTCTCTTCATATCACTCTCAGACCTAAAGAGCCACGGCCTTAGGGATTGCTCTATGGTCCGTGAGCTTGAATCAATGTATCTTCCAAAACAATATGAACTTCTAATTTTCCTCATAAGTCTGTTCTGGCATAAGGCTCCCCCCATGGACGAGTATGTCCACCTTTGTCTTGGCATTAATGATGAACATATTGTGGACGAAGTCCTCGGTGCCTCAGGTCAAGGGATCAACCTCTGGTATCAAGCTTTCAAGCATTTTGTTCACGATAGAGGCTATATCTATCACTGTGATGGGTACACACTGGAAGTTCACCCTCTTTTCTCCATTGTTGGACGAGCTTTTCTATTCGATAAATTGGTTAGCCTGTCAAACAGAGTGCAATTGAAGACGTTGTTTTGTGCCACATTGCAGCTTTGCTGTTTCACTCCTAGAGGCCGGAACCCGTCTTTGCAATTGGAGCCTTGGAATTATTTGACAGCCCTTGAGTTTTGCACGAGGGAAATTCCAGTTGAGAGGTGGCCCTTGGGACTTCTATTCCCCCGCGAACATTGGAGGGAGTCTAGTTACCCTTCAAGCCTCAAAGCCTACTTATGGGAAAGGGACTCTGAACTAATGGAAGCCCTTTATTTTAAGATACCGTTGCTTGATCAAAAGGGCGATCACTTAGCCCTCTATGGATTGAAGAATCTTCTCTTGTGCCCCTCTGAGAACCCGCCCAGCAAGTCAATACTGGAGCGTGTTCTACAATTCTCAAAGAGGGGCCAGGAGCTCATGACAACCTTAAGCCCATCAGAAGATACAGAAATTGTCAATCTGAGTCGCGCTTCGCTTTTGTCGGCAATGATGGCCTCTTCTCACTATCTTGGAGACTATCAACAAGCCCACGACGCTTGGGAATTAATGAAACTCTTGGACGAAGAAATGCACCTAGCGGAACTACCTCAGCATGAGTGCGAAACTGCCAACATTTCAGAGTCGTTTGGTAGTAAGCCATGGCTCGAAATACAAAAGCAACTGGTATCTGAGGCTATCCAGGCTTTGAAAGAAGACATGGAGAAGTGGGAAAATGGAATCTTACCAGCCTCGGAGGTTAAAGAACAGCAAACACTAGTACAGGAAAGCCTTCAAATATTTCTCGACACTGAGCCACGGTTTCCTCGAGGACGTGTTTCTGTTTATTTTATCAGGCCCCTCCAGTGTCCCCAGGCAACCTTCTTCAGAGCCCAGCCCACATAAGCTTTCTGACCTGGAATCATCCTACGATGCAGGCAATTGGCTTGATACCTGTGAGCGGCACATATCCATGGCAATAGATTCGCTATCAGCAGACCAGTTTGAGGAAGTGGGTAGTCACCTTGAGTGTGTCTTCACGCTAGCCAAACTGAACTCAGCGTCCGAGGCCTTTATCGCTGATATTCAAGCTTGCCAAGCTCGAATATTTATGACACATCTGGCTTATCTTTGCCATGTTACCTTATTTCCCGCAAGATATTTTTATCGAGGGATAGAATACGGTTTCGCAAGAAGAATGAATGCCACCTTGCACCAAAGGTTCGCCAAGGGGAGCTTTTGGGGATCTCAGGGTCTTTTGTGGCCATCCAAAGACCATAAGTCCTCGCTCTTCCAGGAGTGCAAGTGGTGGCAGTGGTGGCAGTGGTTTCTAGAGTCTCAAGGACAGGATAAGACATGGGTCACTCATGTGCGCGCTAATCTTGGCTTATATCTTAATGAAGCTGAATTTATGCGCCATATCTTCACCCTTGTTGGCTATAACCGTTTTGAAAATGCTCTTATCCTTCTTGACGAGCTTGAGCCGATGTGCAACAATTCCGTTTTTGTTCACTTTCCCATTCAATTATCCCCTCTCCAGTGCGTCCGAAGTTGTTTCGAGCTTGCATTTGAGCATTCGTCGATAGGTGGAAAACTTGATACCTGGCAATTTGATTCTGCAGACGCTCAAGGCTATCAAGCTCTGGTTACCCAGCTTCTTGAACTCCGTCCCAGCTTTTGCACTTGGTTTCCAGACAGGATGGCCCAAGGCTTCCAGTATGCCGCCGAAAGGTTTAAGTTGTACAGCTACCAAATGGCGATGCGTGAGGCAGCACAGTCCCATGATCCAACAGACCTGAAAGCAACATATCGACAGTTGGTATCATTGATTGACGGCGGATGCTTTAGCCTCTTGAACGAGGGTGACCTACTCACAGTTCGAACTCTTGGGTTGCGATATAATCTTGACCGGGCACGCGATAGCCGGCTGTGGCAAGAAGCAATCTCACTATGCGACGAGTACTTGGCAATTTCACAGGCGGCTGCAAGAGATCTTCCCCGAGCTCAAGACAGTTGGGTCATGGCCAAGCATGAATGCGAGTGGCATGTTATCTCTGACGCCATGGAAGAGGCTGAAGCGAATCTTGACTTTGAAAAGTGCATCCAACTTCTGAGGAAGAAGTATGGCATGGCCTGGAGACAGGATCAAACTCCAGGAATCAGCAAAACCGTGCTTTTCTTGGTCGGTCCTCGACTATATTCGTTCCAAATGCAGCTATATCAAGACCAATGTGTAGAATGCCTAACCTGGCTTCGAAACGCTCAACAGTCCTCTCAACAGAACACAGACGTGCTATTAAAAAAGGCGCTGTGGGTATTCCGCCATAAGTACATGAAGTCGCTCGTGCTGGGCAAGCGTTGGAAGACACTGGCGAGAAAAGTTCGGAAAGGCCACCGCAAGGTTTTCGGAGTAGGACAGATTCGCCAGAAGCTACCGTACCTGCGCAATCCATTCCAGCGTCACCGAACTTGGAAATCGAGGTTCCAGGGTCATCTTACGGATGAATGCCAGTACGGCCATGATCGGGAACAGTTTCAGAAACCTTTCGGATGTCAGTGCCACTGTCCTGGAGGGTATTGCTTTGCAGATTAGATGTGGTTTTTTTATTCTAGATTTATATTTATAGCTATTTAGATATATTGTCTCGAGTCTTCTTATTATACTATGGCTAGTAGTTATAGATAAATAAACCTATTATTAATAGACTTATAATTAAATTAGTATATATTATATTAGATACTTTATTAAAGACCTTAAGAAAATATTAAGATAAATATTAATACTTTACTTTCAAGATTGATTAAATATATTTTTTACTTAAAATATTATCCTTATATAAAACTTTTATTTTAAATTTTATAAGTTTATTTTAACAGATATATCCTTATTGTTACGATTCGTGCCTGTAACAGCGCTGTAAGGCTTCTATAAGGCAGCTGTAGCACACCCATGATTGCTTGCATAGCGATTATGGCCTGATCTTTTGCCCTGTGGTTTAACGGCTTGTGCAACCGTTACACTTATATCTTTAAATTTTAATAAATTTTAATTATTTATTACCCCTTAACAGATAAAGCTTTATTAAGTTAATATTATTATAATTAACTATTATAACTATAGCCTAAACCTGGCTATATATAAGCTAGCTAGAAAGCTAGATTTTCTAAGTAATAAATTTCAAGATAGTAGAAACTGCTTATAAAGGAAATCCATTCTAATATCTCGTTAAGCTAATAAATGTAAAAACTCGGTTACGTAACCTGTAGTGTTAATACTAGTTTTACAAATGAGGGGTTTCTCGCACCTTACCCGAGTCATTGCTGCCGATGTTCGGTTCGCCGGCTTTTTTCGGCGAAAGTGGGGGCTTTCACCTTATCGTCCCCTCAATCAATCCACCGCGTGTCATCACCAAACTCTATGGCACGTTTCTGGTTCTATTAGTGTGCATATAACTCCATTGTTTCTCAACGCACATACAAATAAGCCCTGGTTTTCATTCAAGCAAGGGTCAATTTTCTATGATGGATTCAACCATGGACAAGCCAGATTACGAAAATCTCGAGGTGATACAGAGGAATAGGCTTGCTCCCAGAGCCTACTGGTTACCTCCTACGCATCTCTTGCTCAATGGAACTTGGGACTTCCAATACGCTCCAACGCCCTTAGAAGCTTCAGAATGCCCCCCAGAGGACGGAAGCTCCGAAGAGACTTGGTCCGCGATCGAAGTCCCGGGCCATTGGCAATTGCAAGGGCATGGCCATCCGCACTACACCAATGTCCAATTTCCATTTCCATCAAATCCTCCTTACATACCAACCGAGAACCCCACGGGGACCTATCGGCGGCACTTCAAGGTTCCCACTGAATGGGATAGCACATCTCAACTTCGACTGCGTTTTGACGGTGTTGATAGCGCATATCACGTTTGGCTGAATGGCTCCTTTGTTGGATATTCGCAAGGTAGTCGCAACGCTGCCGAATTCGACATCACAGGCATCGCCAAGAAGGACAGTGACAACGAACTGGTAGTGAGAGTCTATCAATGGTGCGAGGCATCATATATCGAGGACCAAGACCAGTGGTGGCTATCAGGTATCTTCCGCGAAGTGACTTTACTGGCGCTCCCTGGGCAAGACAGAATTGAAGACTTCTTTGTCAAGACAAACCTCGATGATACCTACGAGAATGCCGTTCTCCAAGTCGATGTTACACTGAACCAGCTTGGCCCTTCATCAAATGAACTTCTTCTTATTCTTCGAGATGCAGGTGTCGAAGTTGGGTCAGCACGCAAGACTGTCGATGGCAACAGTAAGATCAAGTTTGAACTCCCTGTTGCAAACCCAAAGAAGTGGACTGCCGAAAGCCCTTACCTTTACCAGCTCGAGATTTCTCTCCAGTCACAAAGAGGAGAGTCAATTCAGACCATTACACAGAACGTTGGCTTCCGTCAGGTCGAACTGAAAGATGGCCTGATCACAGTCAACGGCTCGCCGATCCTCCTTCGGGGCACGAACAGACATGATCACCATCCAATCCATGGAAGGGCGGTTCCATATGAGTTTCTCAAGCAAGATCTGCTGCTCATGAAGCAGCACAACATCAATGCCCTCCGCACAAGTCATTATCCTGGCCAGCCCTGGTTGTATGACTTGGCTGACGAGCTAGGATTCTGGGTCATGGACGAAGCTGACCTAGAGTGTCATGGCTTCTATGACGTTGTCACCCAGCACGTCACGCCTGCTCCATATCTGGATTACGAGGGAAGCAAGGAAGAGTTCTTCCCTAAAGCAGCCCAATTCACCTCTGATAATCCCGAATGGCGCGAGTCCTACCTCGACAGGATGGTACAGATGGTGCAGAGGGACAAGAACCATCCTTGTATCTTCTCATGGTCTCTTGGCAATGAGTCCTTCTACGGCGTTAACCATGTAGCGATGATCGAGTATGCACGAAGTATCGATGACCGACTTATTCACTACGAAGGCGACATCAAAGCACAAGAGACTGATATGTACTCTTACATGTATCCTGATCAAGATCGGCTCAAGAGACATGTCGAAATTGACGGCATCAAGGATGGAAAATGGGAGAAGCCCGTGATTCTTTGCGAATACGCTCACGCGATGGGCAATGGCCCAGGCGGTCTGGATGACTACCAAGACGCGTTCCGTAAGTATAAACGTCTCCAAGGTGGTTTTATCTGGGAATGGGCCAATCACGGTCTCTTGCATAAGGATGGCTACTATGCTTACGGAGGCGACTTTGGTGACGAGCCAAACGATCACACGTTTGTCATGGATGGTCTCTGTGACAGCGAGCACAAACCGACCCCGGGCCTGATTGAGTTGAAGAGAGTATTCCAGCCTATCAACTTCAAGTTCGAGGAAGGCAAGGTGTTCATCACAAATGAGTATGACTTTATCAAGCTTGACCATTTGGAGGCGAAGTATGCCATCAAGGCATATGGCGACAAGTAAGTAAATGTGAAAATATAGTGAGATCAAGCTAACCAAGGGTAACTAGGCTGTCCTTGCTTGAGTCGGGCACCCTCGAAGTTCCAAGCGTCCGACCCTGGGATACTGTTAAGCTTGCTCTCCCCATCGACCTGACTCAGTACTCGGATCATGGCGAAGAAGTGTTCTTGAGCCTCTCATTTACTCTCAAGGAATCTACCTCGTGGGCACCAGCTTCACATGAAGTAGCATGGTTCCAGCACAAGATCTCCGCTGACAGACAACCAAGTATTCCTGTTGGTCTGTCAGCCTCTTCGGGGAGTGTCAAGATTGTCGAAACTCGAACCAAGGTCGAAGTATTCGGCTCGAACTGGAGTATTAATTTTGACCGCGTAAGAGGCTACATCACCAAATGGTCTCACGGATCGGATCTGTTGGAAGTTGATCCAGTTACTCGTGCTGCAATTTATCCATGCTTCTGGCGCGCGCCAACAGATAACGACAAAGACAACGCTGTTAGTGTATGGAAGGACTATGGAGTTCACCGAATGACCTCCCAATTGAGATCGTTGAAGGTTGAGAACGGGGCAGACGGCTCTGGTGTCAGTATGAAGACCAAGACATACTTTGCGCCTCCAGTTTTGGGATGGGGATATGACATTCACACTGTCTACCACATATCCTCAAAGGGTGTCCTGTCAATAAACCTTGACCTCGAACCTAAGGGAGTATTCCCAGTCGATGTACCTCGAGTTGGTCTGAACATCAGATTGCCCAAGAGTCTCAGCCAAGCCTCGTGGTTCGGTCGCGGTCCGGGCGAGTCTTACCCTGATAAGAAACACTCACAAGCCATTGGAATTTGGTCTTCGGCTGTTGATGACCTTGAAGTTCCATATGATGTGCCCCAAGGGAACGGAAACAGAATGGAAACGCGTTGGGTGCGCCTTGTGGATGCAGATGGTCATGGAATCAAAGCCTCCAGGCTTGATGCCAGCACCTTCAACTGGACTGGCGGCCGTCTGTCAGATCAGACGATCGAGAGTGCAAAGCATCCTTGTGATCTGGTTCGCGAAGACGCGACACTTCTTAATCTGAGTCCGAGGGTCGCTGGTGTTGGCAGCGCTACGTGTGGACCTGGTGTGCGGGATGATTTGTTGGTCAAGGTTAAGCCTGAGTCGTACGGATTTGTACTAGAAAGTATTTGAATCAAGTAAATACATGACAAGTTCGTCGTAGGACCCTATTGAATAGTCCATCTCTTCTATATTGATTGTACTGTCTCTTATAGTCCCACTTCCGATAGCTTCCAAGTCGCCCTACACGACATTGTAGCCTTTTTGGCACCTAAATCAATGTTTAAGGGTTCCCAAATGTACCCGGACTTGTCCAGTTCATTCTTGTTCCATCTGTCGCCCATGTAAACGAATTTGCCAGCGGCCGTTCGAAGGACGAATGTGGTCTGGGAATTGCAAGTTTTACTGCCCGCTGGCGCAAAGGTTGCAGGTTTGGACCACGATCCCTTGAGGTCCTTGGTCGTTGTATATTGGTTGTCATTCTGAAAGCCTTTAGCGTATGAGACCTGAAAGATATTGATGTGGACGTACCGTAGACCAACCAGTCAAGTGGCTTCCAAAGAAGTAATACACTCCATTGGTTTTCACAACAGCCGGTGCCTCCAGGGCTGACATGAATGAGTATGGAATGGTAGCGACCAAAGAATCAACCACTGTATAGTTGTCAGACAGCTGGAAGAAGTGGGTACCTTCTCTTCTATCTTCAGCAACAAGGTAGGCAGTACTGTCATCATCAACAAAAAGGGTCATATCGCGAGCGATGTGACCTTCTGGTCGCAGGCTGCCGAGGTACTCATAGTCTCCACAGGGTGTGTCAGACACGGCAACACCAGACCGGGCATCCCCATAATCCGAACTGTCAACGTGCATCCACATCACATATTTGCCCGTCTCCTCGTTGTATATAGCCTTTGGGCGCTCAATCACACGATCCGGCGCTAGATCTGGGTGAGGGTTGGTGTTTGTCAGAAGATTGTTTTGAAACTCCCACGAGAGTAGATCTTTGGAACTGTAACACTATTTATTCTTCAGTGAGCTATGCGCTGAGAGGCTGGCCTTTGGGAAGATTAAGAACATACTGCCACACTGTTGAATAGGTTGCCTCGAGGATTGCTGGTAGTTCTTGTCTTGTTCTCCCCAATGAGGTAGTAAGTGCCATTGACCTCAAGCAGACCAGCGCCATGGGCTTGTAGACTTCTCCCGTCGGTGTCATATAAAGGGGCTCCTGGGCTTATGACGCCATTGGAAGCTGCCGCCGTGGTGAAACAGCCGATCAAAAAAAGAGCTGGAAGCATGATATCAGGGTCTATTTTCTTGGCGATAGTGCTACAGTGGCATTTTCCAAGAAAATCACTGATCCTGGAAGATCAAGCTTATGATGCGCTTTGCGTTATGCTTTTTAACATGTTTTGTTGCAATTGGGAGACCCATCTCAATCTTCACGCTTGCTGAGACTTCATCCGAGTCCCGAGAGTCCGGAGCCAATGCTATGTCACTGATTTTAGACTTCATCTATGACTTCTTGCTATTTCAATCTAAGGCTTACCCCACGAGCCCCCAACGGCAATCCTCGTATTCGAAGCGTGGGGTACAGGAACAAGTGCAGGGGCATCAACTAATTTCAGTTCGAACTTGCTTAGTTAGGTCAGCCACCTTATTAGCATCTCCAGGTCTTGAGAAAGTAACCCGTTGTCAATTCGCAATATCTCGTAAACTTCCCTTAACTTGTGGATTCCGGGACTAAATGAGGTTAGCGAGATCAAAGGAGAACGCTCCTTGAGTAATTCAATAGACATGCAATAGAGTAGCCCTGCATCGGAACCTCAGTGTGTTTGATCAACTTAGGTACTACGAATCTAACTCATATCAGTCTAGAAGATAGTTACTCAATTCCTCGTAGGCGGTGTTTCTAGCGTTGAGGATCGACAAATGCCGATGACCTTGTTGGACAAGACTGAACTGAATTCCAAGCTCGGGTCCAGTTAGATAATTAGTGCGATGCACACATTCCGGATGGCCTTCGAGGATCGGTCATCGGGCATCGGGCTATATCCTATTTGAGCATAGACTAATTATACAGCCAACTGGCCATCTGCCGCCTTACTAAACTTACCCATGGGGTTTGTCGCATTGACCCCTTTAAACATGGGGAATTGGAGAGATAACCAATCGGTTCGAGTGAAGATTGACGGCAAAGGCTAGAAATAATGCCTGTAATGGTGTGTGGAAGGATAGAATACAGTAATGCGGACAAGAGGAAATGGCTTAGAAGTGAATTGTAAAAAGCGTTTACTGGTTTAAGACGATACAATTATAAAAGAAGCTATTGCCCTACCCATGAATTCCCCTCTCAGCAACAGTATCCAGCAACATATTCTTTTATACAATGAAGCCTCTTAGTTATTTATCCACTGCTTTGGCATTTGCCTCCCCTTTGTGGGCCACGCAGATACATCCTAGAGGTGCCTCGGATTGGCCCAACGGCCCCTTCAGCACCGATGGCCGCTGGGTCGTTGATGCCTCCGGACAACAAGTCCGTTTTGCCGGCGTCAATTGGCCTGGAGCTGCAGAGGTTATGATTCCAGAGGGTCTACAATATCGCTCAGTTGAGCAGATTGTGTCTCAGATAAAGAGTGTCGGCTTCAACGCTGTGCGCCTGACGTATGCCATCGAAATGGTTGATCAGATATACAGCAACAACGGTAAAGATATCAGCATCGAGACCGCCTTTGTCAATGGCCTAGGAGCTGAGAATGGAACCTTGGCTCTCGCAAAAGTGCTCGAGAATAACCCATCTTTCACTAACGAGACGACCCGACTTCAGGTACAAACACATTGTCTGCTCGTGGACTATATTGACTGAAACCTAGGTATTTGACGCAATAGCTGAAAAACTGGCCACACAAAACATCCATATACTCCTAGATAACCACATTTCCAAAGGAAAGTGGTGTTGTTCCAGCACAGACGGCAATACCTGGTGGGGCGATAGTCAATTCAACGTTGCCAACTGGTTGCGAGGCCTAACTTTCATGGCAAATCATGTAAGTCAGTCCTACAATCAACAGTTCAATGGCTTATACGGACAAGGGAAAACAATGGTCCGGCCTTGTCGCCATGTCACTTCGAAATGAGCTTCGGAACGTGGAAAACAACTCTGCCTTGCTCAAAACATACAACTGGCAGACATGGTACAAATACGTGCAGCAGGGTGCCAAGGCCATCAATAAAGCCAATGGCGATGTCCTGGTCTACCTTTCCGGCCTCGGTTACGACACGTGGATCACTCCAGTCTTCACACAAACAGCACTGACACCTGGCAAGGAGGTCTTTGACAAAGCTGCCTTTGCAGGATTCTCTGACAAGCTTGTCCTCGAGATTCACAACTATGAAAAGACGGTTGGCAGCTGTGCAACGCTCAAGAGTCATCTCTACACCAAGGGCTTCCAAGGTATGAACTCCACTGATGCTGCAACGAAAGCCGTCTTTCCTGTACAGCTCACCGAGTGGGGCCACCTGATGGATGCCACGACCTGGCAGGGAGTCTACTCGACTTGCTTGAGGAGCTATGTCGGCTCCCTCAAGGCTAGTTGGTTTATGTGGGTGATTGCAGGAAGCTACTACACGCGTTATGGGAAGCCGGATAATGATGAGCTATGGGGTTTGTTGAATCACAACTGGACGGATTGGAGGAACCCTGATTTTGTAAAGTCGGGGCTGACCCCGTTTATCCGTCAGACTCTTGATAGTTAGGTTACTGTATACGGAGTATTGGGTTTCATGATCTAATATTCTTTATAATCATTACTCTTGAAGCCACTTGCCACCCTTTACTATTGGCCGCAGACTCTCATCAAACTCATAAACAATAGGTGTCCCTGTAGGGATATTCAGCTCCACAACCTCTTCATCCCCCAAGCAATCGATGATTTTTACCAGTGCACGAAGTGAATTGCCATGAGCCGCAACAAGCACAGTCTTGCCAGATCTCAAGTCAGGAATGATATTCTCGTTCCAATATGGTTCCACGCGTGCCACCACGTCTTTCAACGATTCTGTCCTCGGCGCTTGGATGGATTGGCCCTGCACGCGCGTATACTTGTTCTGTTCCTGGTAGGCGTCGTCGGACATTGGTGGCGGTTGAACATCGTACGAGCGCCGCCAGATCTTGACCTGCTTATCACCATATTTCTCCGCCGTGGTCTTTTTATTGAGTCCTTGTAATGCGCCGTAATGGCGCTCATTGAGCCTCCAGCTTTTCGTAACAGGAATCCAGTGACGGTCTGCAGCGTCAAGTGCAATATTGCTTGTCGTAATTGCACGTCGCAGTAGCGAAGTATGGCTCAAGTCTGGTAGGTGATTGTGTCTCTTCAACAACGCCCCAGCCTGAGTTGCTTCAGCGCGGCCGTTTTGAGTGATACCCACGTCCTCCCAACCTGTGAATAGGTTCTTTTCATTCCAGGTGCTCTGGCCATGTCGAAGAAGTATTAGTTTCAAAGTCATTGTGATTTTGGTATTTGTTCGACTGGGAATTCTAAGTAAAGTAAGCGCCGTTTTATAGACGCTTGCTAATACCATGGTAGGTGTTAACTGGCACCTTGATGAACACCCGAGAGTTCCGAATAGCAAACTGACGTCATCCATTTCTTGAGCGTGAGGAGGCCAATTGTCCAATAGGAGATCACTCTGATGTCTTGCATAGCTATATGGCTTAAAGGCCGGGTGTATAGTTGGGTCTGGTATTGGCAATGTTTGCCGCGCAAATATAACTTCAAAACCCCGCGCGTTTATGCATTCCCATGTAAGAATCCTACTTTAAGCTTCCCTGTTCAGCGCAAGCTTATAACTGGTTATTTAAAGTAGTAACAACCAAGCTGAGATACTGATTAGACCAGTCCATGTAAGAACAACAATTGGAATACTACTGGTATGGCATTAATCAAGATTCTTCTTACGTTGCTGGCAACCTCGAGGCCTTGTTACTTTCTAACAGAGCTCTCTAAAAGTAAGCCTTATGATATGCCAATTCAACTACAAAAGCTTTATCGTATGCTATTTCAGAGCAAGAGTAGAGCATGTGCTTGTATTGTATTGTGCTGCTCTCTATCTGAATTCAGCAATCTGCTCTAATGTAACTACACACATGTCATTGGCCCTTGGGCGCTACTCAAAGGAATCCGCACTTGGACTTTCCCCAGCACCGGCACATTTTCCATCTCTTCGGCCTTTTCGCCTTAACAGTAGTCAAAAGGTCCAGGGTGACGCCTCTCAGAACACCAGAGCATCTCGAAATATAAGTCAAGTCGCAGTAATACTATTAAATTTTAATCTTCATAATACCTCTTATATAAAATAAGTAAAAGTAAATAGATATAAAAGAAACACATAACCCTAACGCCGCTCCAGGCTTGTAAGCAAACCGAGTAGGCAATACTATATAAGTATATTAATTACTTAGGGTTATATAAACTACATAGCCTCTATTAACTTAGGTTCTTTTAATAATAGCTTGTATCTAATTAGCTAGCTTAGCAAGGGAAGTCTTCTTATCTACTTTCCCTTTCTTAAAACATTAATCTGCTATTAATAAATCTAAGTATTACTTAGCTTAGTATAATTAAATCCAACTATTATAATAGGCCTCTTATTAGTATTATAATTATTATTTAAGGCTCTATTAAGCTTTAGAGGTATTATTTATAACCTAAAGAACATATTATATAATATTTTAGATTTTAATTAAAATACTTAATATATAATCTTCTTTTAAGTTTTAAAGTAATTAATAAATAATATAGCCCTTAATGTAGTTTTCTTTCACTTAGGTATATACTATAATTAAGATATTAAAGTTAATACTTTCTATTGTATAAGCTATAATATATAAATATTTAATAATATATTATTTATACTCCCTGACTGAGAGACATCAAGCTGTAGACTCAATTGAATGTTCTAATGCCATATCTCATGGCCAGCTTGGATCTCAAACTTCGACTTCGAAATCCTCCTACCAGAAAAGGTAATCGCCGCAGTGTCATGACGCTAGATGAGAACGAATCTCTGGTCTATATGATCTTTACAATCTAGATGATTCATTGCCTATAAAGTTTGGTCATAATACGTCTGGGCGACAGTGATGAGGTATATGTCTATGAGTGTGTGGTGCCACATTGCCGGACAAAGCGCTATGTCAGCAACTTAACACCGAGACGATAGCTTCCGGATAGTATTCCCGGGTCTAAAGGTATTTGGGAGCAGTATTCGCATAACGGGGCTGGACGCTGCATACTTATGCGTGGTAGTCAAGACCAGTGATATATATGTTATAGATACTCCGATAATGAAATTGTCGCATTTGTTCAGCTTATCATGTGACTTGACGATTTGCCAGATTCTGCCTGATTTCTCATTTCGGTGATTGGACAAACTGGGTTACACCCATTGGGAATAGCTTCGTTTACTCTTAGCTTTACCACTATACCCATTTCTAAACCCGTGTTCTAAATATATTCTGGCCTTGCACATCTAAATAGTGAGCAGCGATCACTTTCCTTGCATCGTACCGACTTTTCTCGGAACTCCAAGTTCTCTGAGCGAATTCGTCAGACCAAGCTTTACCCAGTTCTCAATCTCTTTCCCGGTAGCCACGGCGATCACCCCCAACATACCCAAAGAATTCACGCCGGCCTCTTTGTTGACAGCCGCTCTACGACGAGGGATAACCACCATCCAGCGGGACGTGAAAGTCACATTGTGCGGGCACGCCATTCCATCTGGCACATTCTTTCCCGTACTAGCCTTCCAAGCTTCCGTCGCCTGCTGTAGAAGCTGTAGATAAATCTCGGTCCCTTTCGAAGCTGCGGCGGCACTGTCTTGAAATCTGTGATAAAACCATTCGAAAGGTACTTTTGGTTCCTCGGTACTGTTTGAATTCAGAAAGTCGACCGCAAAACCACTGGCGGGAAGAGGCATCAACTGTACATGCTTGTGCAGTCTGCTACACCCGCCATCTTTGCCGCAGTTGAAGAATGCAACATAGTCTGTTGTTGCATTCTTCAAGGACGCCATCGTGCCCCATGCAGCTTCAAAGTCGCTCTGATTCAGAGGCTCATATTGCCTGCAATACCCATCGCGAGTGAGCATCATGAGGTGAGGTCGTGAGAAGCAAAATTTGTTGGCGATAAGAAAGTGAGTGCTACTCTCACTATCGCCCATCTCGAAGCCGTTTGTATCGATATCGCTACCAGGGAGGAGCTGTTTACTATTCGATAAGCCGTTTCCGGATGCAGATGACTGTTCTGGTGTTGATAAGGTCGGCTTCTTGATAAGAGCTTTGGTGAGAACAAAATGGAACTAGATGTCAATTGTGTCAATGTTAGCGGCTTCTATGTTCAGTATTGGCTTTGGCATAAGAAGCGAACCTTCAGGTCTCCATCCGTATGCTCAACAACCTTCTGGCTTTCATCGTAGAGAACAAACCCTGACTTAGTCAAGACATCAAATGTGGATAACAGAGCCGATCCATCAATGGTTGGTGCAGGGCGGTCGTATGTCATGGTGTCCGTGCTGGAGCAGATTGGATAACGTTTTTAAAGTGACTTGTTTTTGTGCGAGATGAAAGCGAAGCTTATTGGGGAGAATGAGATTATATGCTTACGAAATGACTAATCTACCTCAGAGACTACTATGGCTTTGCTACATGTGGCCTTTTCTTCACTGCCACAATCGATAAATTGTCGGTGTGCAACAGCGCTTTAGGGTACAAGTCATACAACGTAATGAATTATGCAATGTTGCCATTTGTCATTCTGTACTCCTCAGCCAACAACCTGTGTTTCTACCACGAAAGTGATCAGATTGCATAACATGTCCAGAATTAAATTTAGCTTGAAAGAAATGTTCGGCTTCTGCGAAAATGGCTGGGATGAGCTATACAAGTCTGATTGAACATTTTAGCCAGATGTTTTGGCACCGTCGCCCTTTTCTCCTGTTTCAGCAGCATCAGATGGACCAGAAACCATTGGCTCTGCCGCCTGATTACTCCCGTGGTCGCTCGAGTGTGCTTCTTCAAATACTCTATCATCATACGCACGAAACATCAACCAGAAAGTAGGCGCCGTGGTAATCATTGTTACAGACAAACCCGTGTAGAGATAAAGAATCTGAGGATCCTTTGACAATGGTGAGAATGCCATTCCAAGCGCGGAGCCAGCGCCCGAACTCAGCTGGGCCATTGCTTGTACCAAGCTGCGCATGTTCCTCGGTGCCTCGGAATAGCTGTACTCGGCAAGAGTTGTGAAGCCCAGAATCTCGCCGACTCCGAGAAGAAAGTAGACGGGCGACTGAATCCAGACACTCACGTCGTTCGGAGACTTTTCACACTGCAAGGGCTTATCGTAGCAAGGCCCTTTGGTGTAGATGAGTTTTTGAACTCCAGCAGCATATGCCATTGCAGTACTCATCATGATGAAAGCCCATGTAATGCGCGCAATGGGGCCAAAAGCGAATCCCCGACCACGGACAATGGGATAAACAAATCTCTGCATGACTGGTCCCAGTAGCACGCAAGCGATAGAGTTTAGAGCTTGAATAGTATCGTTGGGAATGCCACCGAGCCTCATCTGTCCTGCTTGTGAGACAAGATTGTTTGTGATCTGATTCATGCATAGATGGAATGGCACAAAACAGGCCCTAATATCGGTTAGCATAGGAATTCAAGAAACCCATCAAGGGAAGGAGAACTCACATCACCTTGCAAGCCTGCAGACCTCTCTTAATCTCAAAAACAAATTTATCATCCCATTCGACCTGGCGGCCAAACTTCTCCGACTGGTAAACTGGTGTAGCAGCTTCCCAGTTGAACTTGTGTCTTCCCGCACACACGATAACTCGGGAAGCGCGGGGAAGGATATTTGCTTGAGGCTTTTGTTTGACTTGTTTTATTTAGAGAGCAGTACCAGCTCAGAGTAGGGGAAAACGCACCAAGCGACTTGTGAAAGATTAGAAGTAAAGGTACCAGTGTCCAGGTCGCGCAAAGAGGTAGCAAATAAGCAGCCCAAAACCCCACTAGCTTCTCCAGATAGGTGGATGCGACAAGTGACAAACTTGCAATGTTCGTGAACCTGCAGCAAAATTGTCAATCCTGTTTCTTCCAATTGTCGCAGAATTTCCTACCAGTACGATACATTGTAGATATACTGAAGTGTAAGCGCCCGGTCTGCAATAACGCGCTCCCCTTTCTTGGTGGTAATTACTTGAGGAGCAGTTTCCGCGTATTGGTCACCTATGAACGGGGAGGCAGTGGCCTTTACACCAGCAGTACCAATTCCAAGGATAATCATCGCGAACCCCAGTCCCACCACCTTAGTGATCTGAGAGTGGCTAAAGGCTGGGAGCGACGTAACAAAGATGATCAAACATCCGCAAAAGTTCAAGCTGCAATAGCCTCTCAGTACTGATCGGTTTTAACCTTTAAAGGATGCGAGCTTACAAGTAGCTCAAACAGAGCGTTTTATGACGCCCCAGCCATGTGTCTGAAATGATAGCCCAAACAGTCGGGAGAAGAAAACTCAAGAAGAGAAATGCACTCGTAATGTTTGTAGCCGTTGCCTGCCCCAGCCCCAAAGCGCCGGGAACAGCGACGCTATCAACGGGATTCTGTATGTAGTTCTCTGCGCGGAAAGTAGGTTAACAATGATAGAGCATACAAAAGTCAAACTGCATTGGTGGTACCTACGCCATGGCGTTGTTACGGCATAGAAGGTAAATCTCTCCGTAGCATTAGCGATGAGTGCGACCCAAACAGCTAACGAAACTGAATCTACAACGTGCCGCAGCTCTTTGACCTCCTCTTCTGTAGCGTCCCGCCTTTCGTGCTCAGGATGTTGAGTCACCATGATGAGTCCGTCAATGGGGAAAAGTATTAGAGGCTATATGGATGCTCTGTCTGAAAAACTGTAAAATAATTCAAGAACCTCGAGAATGCTGTGATGCTTGGGTGAATGGTCCTGCTCCCAACTCCAATCTACACTTAAAACACGGAGAAGTATCGACAAAGGATTGCTGCACAAAGCGCGGGGTGCAAGGTAACCCTGACGCCCTGTTCATATTACGTACTGGGTTTGAAGACGTTATGTTTGTGTGTTGGTTGGTTCGGATCACCATACAGATCTGGTAGTCGTTTTACAGGCACTTTTGAAGGTCACTAGCTCGAACCAACTGCAGATGTTACGTGGAAACGCGTGTTGGGGCTATGCCTGCATGTGAAGCGGCGCATTCAGGATTTGATTGGAACTCTACTCATGTTTATCCTGGATGCGAATGTTACTGAGCAAATTATGCAATGGGCGATGACCCAAGCCCACCAAAGAAAAGGTACTGTGAATTATGACCAGAGCAAGCTTATCCTGCGATTACTCCAGGGTCTTCGTGCGCCAACAGTTGGCACCCACTATTGATCACCATCGCGTCAGATTCTGCCCCAGCACGACCACTTGCTCTTCTGGGAAGGACATATTACGAGAGTCGTTCTCTCTTCTCGCCTCAACAGTAGTCATTAGCTTCCGTAAGCCAACCGATCGTGCATCATGTCCCCAAACAGCCTCTACAATATTCATGCAGTGATTAGTAGCTGTGAATGGGATAATTCAGAGCTTGCGGATTGGAGGGAGCAGCCCGTGATTGACCAGTGGTGCAGGCTCTTTTCAGTGAAGCAACCAAGCATAAATTGACCACCAGCGTTCGCAGTCGCTGTATGTCTCTTGGTGGCATAAAGCAAGCGGTGAACAAACCGACAGAAACCAGTTCTAATTGGAAAAGAACCTGCAATAACTCACAATGGCAACCAATGTACCTATGAAGTACGATATGTTGAGGTATCCACCGCGCGCACTGCCGTACAGAGTTCGCATTAACAGGCAATACAGGCGGCTGCGAGTAGCTGACTACATCACTCTTTCCAATGGTGAGTAACTCGACAGCCTCTAACAGACAATCAGGAATTATAAAGCTTACCTGGCTTTTCTAACAATCTAGGTTTTTGCGGAGGTAAAGCATTCCTCATAGCCATATGGTACTGGGTAATTAACTCGTGTAAATAGTTCTCGCCATTTTCTGTGCGATACAGAAATCACTTTTGGCGGCGCACTTGCTTATTTTTCTCGGCTATGAGTTTGATCGCTTCGATGGAATAGTTGCAAGGGCCAGGAATGAATGTTCCGAAATGGGCAAACAATTGGATAGCTTCTGTGATTTGGTGAGTAACCTTTTGTTTGTCCTGGCGAGGCATTCCTGAACTTATTATTCGTGTTCAGGTCTCCTTTTGCGTGGCGCCAGCAGTCATGATCTATTGCGCTGGTTTCGATACCGTGGTGGATCAGCTAGCTTTGGCTCTTTTTGTCTGTTCAGGCGTTGCACGCCTCTCAAGATTCAACATCGCCGCGCACTTGGTGCCCAAGAGCGATCAGGGGAAAGCGATGTACCATGAGGGCCTTCCTACAGCATATGCGGCTCTTCTCATTTCTACAGCAGTTGCTGTTGCGGAGTGGACAGGCTATCTGACAAACTTAGCTTCTGGCTCTCATTACCCAGTCATTGTTGTTGTGCTCATTTTCAGTGCCGCGATGGTTAGCAAGCGGCTGCACTTATACATTGATGGAGCCTACAGCATCCCGGCTGTAAGCATGTTGGTTTTCGCAGGATGCTGGTCGCACTCACCGATGCCAATCAGGACTGCGCTATGGTGAGAGATCGATCTTGAATCATGATGCGGTTTTAGTAATATGATTCGGTGTTGGTAGACAAACTGGAGAAAGGTGGCGAAATGCAAGAAAAGAGGACAGAAGATGTGATTCAGGGCAAATTGTATGCTGCGAATGCCAAGCGATGAAGATTGAAAGGGAAGCTGAATGAGGGGTCAAGGCAAACAGACGGGTGCTGACTATGTACAAGGCCAAAGGTTAGGGTTATTAAGAGACTGACAGAGGAAGTACACCAATAGAAAATGTGTCAAACATTCTCGTGAAACATAAAACTCTTCAGATTCCACCAACAGTGCAGCCCCAACATTTATTCTCCCGCTCTTTGTTACCACTACTCCTTTCCCAGACCGCTCTTCATTCTCAAATCTCCGCTATCATGTCTCTTCGGCCCTACTTGGAAGCTGCCTACAGAGAGGTTCGTTTGTCTACAGGAACCGCACTCAATCCGCTGCAGAAGCTAGATTGCCACCTCAAAAAAGGTCAAGACAACTTGATCCTGGTTTACGGTGGCTCTTTCAACCCCCCGCACCGTGGACATCTGGAGGTCCTGCTGTCAGCACTGCACCCCGTGGTCAACGCCGTCGCCGTGGTGGTTCTCCCCAGCGAGGATTTCCACCTACGACACAAATTGACAAATAGCCACCCAGAGTTCTTCATGAGTCGGAAAACGAGAGCTGCACTTTGGGCCGAGATGCCCCAGGTGCCTAAAAATAAAGTCTGGATATGGTCAGAGACATGGTATCCATTTTTCACATTTATGGAAGCGGCGCAGCGGTTTTGCGAAGCGGATGGTTACAAGATTGTGTTTTCGCACCTCATTGGGCCGGATAACCTCAACAGAGCCGATGCTCTTAACAATTTGCCCTACAGGTTGCCGCGAATACTTGTTACCAATAAAGCACGGCATGTACCCTCTCAATTCTTGCCAAACGGACAGCCAACGAAATGGAAGGGCTTTGGGGAATGGCTTCCGCAAAGAATGACATGTGATGACCAAAGTAGGTAAACTGAGTAAACTTCCTCTATTATTGCTCGAGCTTTCTGACAATCTCAGATGGGCAACTTGAAGAAGCAGCGGAGGAGGCTACCCTATGGACTTGTCGAGGTACTGATAGCCTCGGCCACCAGACAATGGGTTACTATTTGGATTTCGCGAAGAGACCAACTGGGTCTGACATTAACTCAACAGCCATGAGGCGAGACCTCCTCGAGAGACACTCATTGGACGAAGAGATCCTGGGCCGACTCAGCACCGCTGACCTTCTAAGCATCTTGGAGCCGGTATTGCGTGGAGATTAGACTCATTGATAGAACAACCCAAGCAACGCTACTCATTATGTCAGATTGCTCGAATAGTAACCGTGTTTAGTCAAGGATTTCAAATGCACGTAATACCTACATTACTTCCTTGAAAGCTTCTTTGTCACATGGTAGCGCATATCTCTTAACGTAAGCTCGATTTGGTTACACGAGCCGCATATCCACCTGCCACAAACGGAGATGACATTGCAACTGGGGGAAGGGGCTGACAGACCCCAGATGAAAGGTCCGAAAGCTTAGTTGGGAAAGACATTGTTATAGTCTTGTATCGATACCGACTCAACCAACAGGTGCCCTGCCAGCGTACGGCACAACCTAGAAGAGTCATGGTGGCTGTTGGCTTACACAAAGAACTGCGTAACAAGAGGCTAACTGGTTGGCGTAATGAAGGAAGACGAGACGAAAGTGCTTGCTTGGGGAGATTGGTCGCGTGCGAATCTTAGGTGTTCATGTTCTTGGCAAAGTTCAAGTGATCGATGAATGATGCCCCTGTACCCAGCAGTCAGATTAAGCACTCGTTTACAGGTATATATTGAGATCTCTCTATTTGATTGACGTTTCAAGTTTGCAATCTTAACAAAAGTGTTATCGAATACTTCATATCCACCTTTTACACCAGAAAGCATGGCAGTATTGAATGGTTACTTCAGACCCAGAGTGGCCTTTGTCACTGGTCAGTGATATACACATTGCGAGTAGTTTTCCGGCTATCTAACATGTGAGACAGGAATCACCGGTCAAGATGGCTCGTATCTTTCCGAACTGCTGCTGGAAAAGGGATATGAAGTTCATGGCCTGGTACGATCGACTGCTTCCAGACGCGAAGCTCTAAGCAAGCCACTCCGGCCTGGCTTGACCATGCACCTTGGCGATATGTCCGACTTGGGTCGTCTCGTCCAGATTTTGGGCAGCATCAAGCCCGATGAGATTTACCATCTTGCTGCTGAGTCCCACGTGGCTGTCTCATTTGACACTCCACTACAGACTAGTGACACCAATGCTATGGGAACACTTCGACTGCTTGAAGCCATGCGAATGCTAGGCTTAGACAAGTCGACAAAATTTTATAATGTAACGTTCCTTTATCTCGCATCAGACAATACGAAAAGGCTAACATATTCATGCAGGCTTGTTCATCCGAAGTGTTTGGGTCGGACATGCCCGCTCCACAAACAGAGGAGACCTCCTTCCACCCGGTATCACCCTATGCTGTAACCAAGTTGTTCCAATACTGGACTACTGTCAATTTTCGAGAGGCATACGGCTTCCATGCCTCGAATGGTATTCTCTTCAACCATGAATCACCGAGACGGGGTACCACTTTCGTCACCCGAAAGATCACAACTCAAGTAGCTTTAATTGCCTGCGGAAAGTTGGACTTCTTCTCCCTAGGAAATCTGGACGCTGTTCGAGATTGGGGCCATGCAAAAGATTACATGCAAGGCGTGTATCTGATGCTGCAACAGCCAGTCGGAGGCGATTATGTTCTTTCGAGTGGAAGATCCTACAGCGTTCGCGACTTTGTCGAGGCAGCTTTCAAGGTCATCGGAGTCAACATCGAGTAAGTTCTTCTTCACTATCATACGATCGCAGTGGCTGACATATCAATCAGATGGACTGGAACCGGTCTAGACGAGGTCGGCATTGACTCAGCTAGCGCAAATATTCGCGTTAAAGTGAACCCCAAGTTCTACCGACCACTTGATAACCAGAACTTGCTAGGCTCAGCAGCCAAGGCGAAGAAAGTGCTCGGATGGAAGCCAACATACAGCTTCGAAGGATTGGTTGAAGAAATGGTACTTTGCGATGTTGAGGCTGTTAACACAGGTCGTATCTTCTCCAACAGCTATTTGGACTGGGTAGTTGGCAATGCGGAAAGCGGGAATGGGGTCGTGAAGCACAGTCCTTCCAAGTCGGTTGGTGAGGCTCACAGCGTCACTACGAATTCGGATGGGCCTGAGAAGATCAGCCTGGCGGACGTTGAGGGACTGGATGCGGAGGTTACAACTCAGGGTTAGCCATTTTGTCGATGCTTCTAAAGCATTAGTCCTTCATTCTAGATTTCTTTATCTGATATCTCCATGACATAGTTCAAACCAACACATATGACCATATTCTATTCCTTCGTAATTGCTGTTCAGTTGTTCCATATCGTGCCAAGCGACAGCGGAGAGATACAGGTACCTAACTGTAAAGTTAAGCCCTTCAATCAGCACTAAACGTAGATCAGCCTGGGGTTACCGCCACCTATACACCCATTTTATGATCTAGTATTGACGTTTCTCAGCCTCACTATACTCAAAAGGTGTCAGAAATGGCGGAAGTTATCTTTTCTGCATCATTGACTGTGTCTTTGCCCTCGGTACTGGTTAGTTCTGATTGGGTATTTGTGGTTACGCGTCATAATTCTCTCTTTCCCCGGCAGTGACACAAACGTGCCATATTACCGTTTAGAGACTAGCCTTCTATGTTGAGATTAATCTGTACAACCAAGCTGACGTTTGAGCCGCGCCGCACTCCTTATGGGGAAGGTACCTTTTGTCTGATCGTCCATGAAAATGAGGTGATGTGGGGGGTTGAGACACCTCAGTCAGTAACCCCAATGCGACAACTTAGGATAGGGCTTTTGAATTTCGTAATTACTCATATTTTGCTCCAGACGTTGTTGGTTGTGAAGTGAGCAGTAGTATTCCGCTTGACCAATGCATCGGATGTCTCCAAGTTTCACCGCCATTCCAATCTGACTAACAATGCAGATCATGGTAAACAAGGCAGCTCTTCTTACGGCAGGTGTCATAGGAAACCGAAACACGTTATTACGAGACAAAGATTTGACAAATCCCTTACAACCGCGCTGGGATCAAACCATGACGTCTAATGCAGCCACGTTGCCATGCAAAGGTCAGAATGTGAATTTCACTTACGGATAAAACGAGGGACAACAATTCATGTTAATAAACAATAACAAAGACGAAACAGCACTATTTCACAGTCCTTCCCCATTGCCAATTTCCTTTCGTAGCCAAAGGATTCAGTGCCTGCGGCCGATATAGGAAGTCAGTTAACACCTGAGATGGATGGATTGTTTTTCTCTGAGACCTTTTCGGTCAAGGCTCTCGGTAGTGAATGTAAGCTGCCCTGCGAGCTTCCACCAGTCATGAATATTTTACGCTGACACGTTACCTTTCTTCTTTGCTAGCTGCCTTGAAAGCCAAATGCCATTGGAGATTCTCACCCCCTCTCTCCTCTAAGAATGTAAACGGAAATGCTCCTCCGCACTCCAAATCTATTGATCTCGTTCTGAATCTCACATCCTCGGAAAAAGCCGAGACGAATGGTCACGCGAGTAAAGGAACGGAAGATCTTGCTGACTGTACTGAAACGCCATTGGGAACTATTATCAACAAATGTCTGACATCAAGGCCGCCTTGCTCCGATGGTAGCAGACCGAACCACGCCACCGAGGCACTGATCAAGGTCTTGATGGTTCCACATGATGGCTATCTCTGTCGACGTGACATTCTACAGTTGAGAATGGTACATTCTGACTGTATCGAATCCGTCGTTCCCTTCCCAGTAGAGGAAAAGCCTTATCCCGCGTCACTTCAAACAAAAGCCAATCTGCTTTCTCTTTTACGGTCCTCTCCTGGAGCTTTGATCTGCAAACGATCCATCCAATCGGCTCATGGCCTCGAGGCATTTGACCTTCTCGATCGGGAAGTGAACGAGAGGCTTTCTTTTGACTGGATACTCCCAAACAAACCTTCAGCATTGACCGTGGCAGTGGTTGGCGGTCGCCCTCTGTTCGATAGCACAACAGGGGGGTATGGTTCAGAGGGACCCTTCGACGCGGCTAGAGCGCTTGGAATAGCCGTCATCGTCCTTGATCGCCCTGGCCATTTCATGGAGGGCCCAAAATACAGTCATCTGCGAGGCGACTTTATTGCTGTCGATATGGCCAGTGACGATAGTCTACCTCAAAGGCTCACCGCAGCTGTGAAGAGCCGCAAAATAGATGGCATCATCACCTTTTCAGATGAGTATGTCATCGCAACTGCAAAGGCAGCCGAAATGTTGAATCTTGAAACTGAGCCCGTCGAGTCTATAATCACTGCTCACTACAAGGACGCGACCCGCAAGGTTCTCAACACTCCCAATATGCAGTCTTTTCGGTTGGAGAGCGCCACGGACTTGGATAATGAAGAGATTTCTAAGACGTTGGAAACCTTGAAGTACCCTCTGGTGATAAAGCCATGCCGTGGTGGCGCCTCTCGAGGTGTCAAAAGAGTTCAGAATCACCACAGACTCCGAGAAGCAATCGACCAACTCGAAAAAGATGGTCTCACAAAATACGGGATCCTTCTCGAAACTTACATAAGTGGGCCAGAGATAGATGCCAACATTGCTCTCTGGGATGGTGAGCTTATGTTCGCAGAGATCACCGATGATTTCCCCTGCACAGCTGATGCCAACGACGCCACTATTGCGGACAGCTTTGGGGAGACTGTCATGGTGTCACCAACACTATTGTGCCAGAAGGAGCAGAAACTGGTGAAGTCGTCTCTGCACCAAACACTGCTCAAACTTGGTTTCCGAAATGGGGTCTTCCACGTTGAAGCTAGAGTCCAGAATTCAAGCATGCAATACCAGGAAATTGACGGTCTTGTTGATTTGGCCGATACAGACATCCCGTCACCAAGCGACCCCGAGGTGTATCTTATTGAGGTCAATGCACGCCCTCCTGGCTTAGACTGCGCATTCTCAACCCTTCACGCTTACGGGGTAGATCTTTGCGCGCTACAGCTACTCCAATCCGTAAGGGATGGCGATCGTTTCAAAGCGATGTGTAAGCCTTTCTTATCCGAAACACAGTACTGGAGCGCGAACTGCCTGATCCCAATTCACCGTCATAACGTACTGGTACCGGAAGGGTTCTCTGACAAAGTCCTAGATAGAATGCCAGACGTTGCTCCATTAGTTTATAGGTCAGAGCTGTTTAGACAGCCTGGCACTCTCGTATCACCACCATTGGGTGTCGAGTTTCTGGCTTATTTCTTAGTGCAGTCTAGGACTGATCGACGAAAGGTGCTGCAGACCTATCATCGCCTCATACAAACTTGTAGAGATGTTTTAGATGAGGTGTGAGAACATAAGTTAGATATAGCCATTAAGTCAGCATTCGAATGCAATCTCACTGACTTACCTTCCGATTCGCATGTAGCAGTTGATGAAAGCTAGTCATTTGCATGACCTCCCTCAGCTAAGCATGACTCAATGTCCGATCATGCCAGCAGGACTTGATGAAGCATGATTTGAAACATAATTTGACGCACCGATCAATCAGCCGATCATGACGCCATAACAAGCGCGTAAGCTCGGCCATTGCCTCATCGGAACGAATATCCTCTTCGAGGTTAGGTTGCTCGGAACTTTTGTGCGGACAGTTCTTCCAAGCCGGGTCGGGCCGCATATAATCCTTTCGAGTATTCAATCAAATAAGGTTATATATGGCGACAGTTTGTAAATCACACAAAAATCAAGCTTGTGTTGGCCTTTATGCACCGGAATACACACCCGGCATGCTCACTCGACCTGTGTGGCAGCCTAATCGGCCCCCGGCAATTATCAGCCAGGTTGCGCAAGCTGTGTAACATAATAAAGGACACGACCAACCAGTTGAATTGAGGTCTTTCCGATTGTTACGAAACCGACTCCGGCCCAGTCGATCCTGCTTATGGCGTATGCGGCGTGCTATGGGGGCTAAACGAGAATCACTCTGAAAACCCCTGCCAAATTCCACGCGAGGGGCGTTCTCGATCTGCCAGAGTTGCCATCTTGGTGGAGAGTCAGTGGGTTAGCAAGTAATTTGCGTCGGAACTTTTGAAAATGCCCGTAAGCTGCGGTAAAACGCCTTAACGTTGCATTTGTTATCATTTCAGCAAGGAAATGATGCTCACGTGCTTTGTTACTGTTTCGAGGCACAGCATGATGCACAAATGTGTTCAAAAGCTAGTATTATTATACCAAATGTCTTTTGTCTTCCAGCTGCAGTCGATCGAAGAGCTTGTGAAATTCTGTGTGCACTATGTCGGTTGCATCTCAATCAGGTGCAACCATGAATGTTGTATTCACTAGCAACCCGTCTTCAACTCCCGCATCTTTGGGCGTCAATGCCAACGCTAGCGATCTGGAATGCCAAGGGGTCACGGACCCAAGGGCTAAGAAACGCCTGCAGAATAGGGTAGCCCAGCGAAGTTACCGTAAGGCTGACCCCGCCGTGATAGGCTTGGCTTGCAATAATTACTAACGAGCTGGAACTTAGGACGTCGTGTCAAGTCCCGCATTGCCGACCTACAAAAGAAGGTGGCACAGTATGAAGATGCAAATTCATCGAAAGAAAGTCCAGAGACTGGAGAGCAACCTCGTGCTCATGGAGATTCTGTGCAGCAACGGACATCGTATACATCACCTGAAACAACCAACCGGGGATCGACTCAGGGCTTGCCTGAAATTCTTGCCTCCCGGTCAACCCGCGAAAAGACCCAAGAGAGTTCCACTCACAGAAATTCAAATTATACCCTCTCCCCAGCAAGTTCTCTCGCTCCTAGGAATCAGATCTCAGGCCCCCCTGTGGCAAAAGCAGGAAGGTCTTATCAGCACGTTGGATCAGGCCGCGAGACGCAGCAAAGTCGTCGTTCAAGCTTCGTAACCGAACCTCATGAAGCCAATGGAGACCTCCTTCAAGCGCATTTTGACGATATTACCGTGAACCAGAACACCAGCTCAGCCATATTGCAGTCCTTCCCTACATCAACTTTTGATACGGCTGCCTCTCATCCCCCATTCATCACTGATGAACTTGAAGAAGAATTAGATCTTGGATGGATGATAGCAAACACGGAGGTGGAGGGACGAAATTCATGCTCATGCGATAAATCATCAGACCAAAACCCAAGACCCTCTTCAACTAACTCCAATTCACTAAAAAACCAATCATCCACCGCAAGACTACCGAGCTACGCCTCATCTTCAAGATCACCAACAACCGTTCCCAGAGAATCACTGAACGCAAGATTCCAGAACATCATGGAATGCGTCGGCGCAATGGGTTTCGAAAGCTTTGACGATCTAGTCACTTCATACTATGCCGATGAGTTTGAAGAAGCGTCCAAGCTCTTCCATGAGCAGCGATTCAGCAGGATCAGAAGACTTCCTGGAGTATTCGCAGAGATTCTGGAATATGCCAGAAGATGGGAGCCTGCAGAGCGCCGTGGTCTCGGTGAAGAGGTTCTCAAGGAAGCTGAAGCGGTTCTTATGCTTGAGAGCAGCGAAGCCTGGCAATCATTACAGTCAAACACTGATGCGGCCATGACCAAGGACAATATCTCTACGGAGCAGGTATATCAGAATATCAGTACAGTCCTACCCATGGAGGTAAGCACATATGCATCCACCAATGATTCCCTTGGAGTATATATAAATAAAAAAAACTAACAATAAGACGCCTTAGATGCCCAATCTTTGGACCTTGTTAATGGCCCTTGTAGCATCCGATTGTCCGGCATGGCAGCGAGATTGTTCTGGCACAGCTCTAGCAATCACTACACTATTGCATTTCACGGGTCGGATGCCAAAGGCTAAAATGCTAGAACTGATAGGTCTTTGCATTTCATAAATCTAGAGGTTATTGAGCCATTGATGGCTTCATAAAATTTGGGTTAGTAGCAAAAATGAGACGTCAGCCCAGAATGCGGTTGTGCTGTACACAGCTGGACAAGAGACAAAGCAGAATCTACTTAGACCTAGGGCTTGAGGTCCACCAGCCGCCTGAACGATATCAGCAGCCCCCTTGATATGCTGTGAAGCCATGGAAATGTTGCCTAGCAGGATCTAAGTTCTGTTAAGTAATATCTCAGAGTCGAGTACGTAGGGTGAAACTAACTTCATTGAATGCAAGTACCAACGCACTAGCAACCCATCGTGGATGAAGTATTGCTGGCTGCGTGGAAATATCCTTGCGAAGATTTTCTAGATATTGAAGCTTGTACTGAATAGCCTTTCCTTCGAATTCTACCATTGACTGCACTAAGGATAAATGTCGGCAGGCTCCTAATAAAAAGCCTTTAATAAAACCAGCATCAGTCGATGACACCAGAATCCAGTTTCTCCTGCTGAGTTGTGATACTGGTTGAGGTAGTGTGACATCGGACAATGACTGTCCAAGTAAGGAGTGACAACTTTGATATCTGCTTGATCTCTTAGCTTCTAGACACTTTAGGACCTAATCGCGGATTACAACTGATTAGTGGGATCTAATGTGGTACTAATAATGATCAAACATGTAGCATTCTTCAGATGTAAGTGTTCTTAGGAAGTTGACATATAGTACGAGGGTTGGCTGCTGTAACAAAGTTTCCACGGATAGCAGAGTCGCTCCATCTGAAGTCACCCGATTTGAACGCGAATTCGATGTCTCAGGCAAAAGGAGTTCTTGCAAAACTTCCTTTTTCTTCGGATCTGGGTTATGTTTGTCTTTCCGAAGCTTCCGTGCCCTGGCGTGCACCACTCGAGCAGAGTATAAGCGAACTACACGGCTTCCTACAAGAGTCCTTAGAGCCATTAAAGGCTCATAAGAGGTTATTCTCTGTGGTCTAGAAGACTAGTATACAGAGTATGCCGCTGTTAGTCATTGCTAGGGCTTATCTAGGCCTTTTATATTAACTTCTAATATATATTTTATAATCTTTATTTAGGTATTTCTATAAGTAACCTTCTTATATCCTTTTAAGATATATTTTAATTAACTTATTAGCTAGATATTTTATATCTCTAGATTAATAACCTATATATCTTATAAGATAACCTTAATAATTAGATTTATAAGTTATTTAAGATATTTAAAGTATATAAAAATATATACTTAATTACTATTAAATACTAGGCTAAGGATAGTTTCTAAGGTTTCCTAAGCACCTAGATAATATATAAAAAGATAACTCTGCTCTTTTATATAAATAAAACCTCTAGTAAGGTTTTTACCTATATATCTTTATTAAAATATATTAGAAACCTAGCTAGATAATTAATTGAAAGGATATACTATTATTAGAGCATACTTAGGCACCATAAGAGTAATATCTATTACCTTAAATACTATATTTTATATACTTATAAATTTATTTTAAATATAAGTTACTTTTCTTATTAGAAGATAAGTTTATTATATATCTACTATTATCTAATCCTAATACTATTATTAGTTAATACTAAATTCTATTAGAAATACTTTAGCATTAGAGAGCCTAAAAAAATGTTATTATATAATACTTAAGGCAGAATTTTACTATTAAAGATAATAAATTACCAGCATTAAGGGGGATAGCTGCCTATTTTATAGCTAAGTCTATAAGAGAAGATAGCAGTTTAGACCTAAGTAACTATTATCTAACAGGCCTGTAGAGAAATAACCTTATCTAAATTTATATTAATACTCTGAGTTTCCTAATCTAAGCCCTGCTAATATTTCTTAGGTATTAACTTAGTCTTAGGCTTTTACATGATTATCTATATACTATAGTATTAACTGGTTTAATAAGATAAAAGACCTTATTATGATTAAAGATATAAGAGTAAAACTAGAGACCCCTAGAAATTTATTTAATAAGGTTACTAGTAGTAGGATATTAAGATGCTGAAACACTGTTATGCTGAGCCAGGGAAAGCGTGCCTCTGCCTAGTGTGAACTCATGGACTTCCTCCTTTGGCTCTTCAGGCTTAATCTTTTCCTTAAGCCGTCGCTCATTAAATACATTTGCAACATGGTTGTGCATATTATACCTTCAGAGAGTCAGGAAAAAGCAGTCCACTTCCGATTACAAATGCAACTTACATGTTCATCTCATCAATTGTCAATTTACCATCTTCAGTTGCAACATTGTACACCTTGGTGTTTGTGTTGCTAGAAAAGCCTGTCCGCAATTGTCAGCATCCGCATACATTATCAGCTCTAGATCTCTCACCAATCCGCTCGTTGATGTTCTCCCGGGCCCTTGCCGATGCAGCCTGAACCTTGGTAGCCCTTGGCTTGCGAACTTCCTCAAAGACTTTGAGAGACTCGCGAATATCGCCGTTAAAGTGCTTCTTGCTGAAAACAAGACCAATAGCGGCAGCATCTTCGATGGCCTGGCAAGCACCCTGACTTTGATCCGGCATCATCTTTTATTTATGTTAGTGCATGAGACGTAGAGACACAATTGCATCACAACTTGCCGGATGAGCAGCATCTCCCATAATGCAGGCAACCCCCTCCGTCCAGTGACCGTAAGGCTCATGGAGCCACAGTCGCCAGGGGCGGATCTCGTACCCAATCTCAAGGTGCTTGAAGACCGACCGGTCCAAATCGGGGTATGGGTCGAGAAGCTCGTCTAGGGTTGCCTCTTGATCCCAGGTCTGTGCCTTGAGGTCGCCAGCTTCGCGTGGGAAGAAGCAATAGTAAGACAGGAGCTTGCCTCCATTGCAAGGAGACAGAACGATCTTGAAATGAGTGTTGTAACCTCCCCAATACTCCAGAGCGCTGTTCTGGGAGTAGTCAACTAAGCCGAGCTCTACAGCCTTTGCAGTATCAACATTGGTATGCAGACAGGTGCAAGTCGCCGGTTTGCGATCGGGCTTGATGCCAAAAACACTTCGAAGGGTGGATCCAATGCCATCGGCTCCAATAACTACATCGTGCTTTACCTTTTTGCCATTTGCAAAGGTGACTTCTCCACTCTCCACATCTACATTAGTAGCCTAGAATAATTGCCGGTGATTAGTGACGTGGCTGTAACATCTAACAATACTGTACCTGATAACTCACCTGGTGGTTCACAATGAGCTGGGCAGGGGGGCCTTCGCCTTCACCAAGGGCACTATCCATCAACATGCGATGCATATACTGGCGATGGAACATGTAGTAGACCTGGATATCGTTATCAGCATTTCTATTTAGGATCGAGGTTCAAAGTCGGGGTATCACTTACATAGCCCCATCGTTCTTTGTAGTCCTTGAGATCATAGACGCTAATGGGCTCACCAGTCTTCCAGTCACGACTGATTAACTTTCTGAGAATAACTGGATCACCAATCTCAATATTGACTTTCCATTCCTCCAGCCAGCGAGTACCATTAGCAGCACATGAGATGGAGGCTCCAACCTCGCCGGCAAAATCAGCGCGTTCGTAAATGGTGACCTTGTGGCCTTGGCGACGAAGAGAGGTAGCAACTGCTTGACCTCCGATGCCCCCTCCAATAACAGCCACGTCAAGTGCGCGCCAACCGCTTTGAGTGGACATCGCTGTTTCGGTATATTTGGTGGCTCAAGTCTGGGATATTCACAGTTCAAACGGTGGAACAGGACGAAGATACAGATAACTAGGTCTTTCTGCAGTTTCTACGAGAAAAGAGTTTGTGTAGTCATACTCTCGAAGCTTCAAATAACTCTCAGGGGCTTTGGCTTTCGACTACTGCCATGCAGTATGTTCCCGATTATGCCCCGATCGCTGAAACCAAGGGCTCTGAATCCCCAGCATACCGGCTTCCTTCCGATCAAATCCCGTGTACTCGCCATTACTCAAATACTCTTAATGTAGGTGGTCGGAGAATTCAGGAAATCCTCACGCAGAACCTTATCTAATGTTACCTACATGATAAGCAGCGACCATCGGCCGTGCCCATTAAATCAACATTGGGTAACTTCCCGATCATTCCCCGGCGGAATCTAAAGACTCTCATGATACCCTATGTAGTCATGGGTACTTTCTGCATCCAAAACAGGTGTCATCTCCTGCCACCAGTGTTCTCGAACGCCGCCGATGTACAAATGGTCGTCTGACGTTACACTGCGGCCGCATCTTGCACATTTCGGCATGCACTCGCACTGACAGGCTAGCTCCTGGATACAACCCTCGGAGGCCATTACCTTTGACAGTAGTAATCTGTCCCAGACATAGGAAATGCAGTGCCTGGATCCTCCGTGATTCGGAACGGTCAGTGACTAGCCGCACCCTTCCGCTGCCGTTCCGTTGAAAGGCCATTCCTACCCTGGTTAGCTCGGAAAGGCCCATGGGCTGAAATAGAATACGGGGCAACCAATTAGAGAATCGCCATTACGCTAGGGTGAGTCACTCCGTTTGCCACGATTTATCACACAGAGTCGCAGCTAGATTTGTGAAGGGGTGGTGGTCTGGGGGAATTCTCCTTACATCCAAGAACTCATTATTGGGGGAGTTTCCCCAGTACCGTCTCGATGGGATGTAAATATTTACTAAAAGGCAAAAGAGCAGAAGACGAGAAGCGGATTTCAGGTCATAATGGAAACGTAAATTAATAGCTACAACAAAGACATGGCTCCAAGCAGTCAAAACCTGCTGCAGAACTTCGTATGACCCAGAAGGCAACCACGCGAAATAAAGCGAAGCTATGAAGTCTCCCCTCCTGATCCCGAACCAACCATGTCTTCCAATTCTGTCACTTCACTTCCATTCCTTCCACGACGGTGGCTGCTACAACTGGCATCTTGAACTTCTTCCTACCAACAAAGGCAAAGTGGACAGCTCCAAGTATAATCCAACCAGACATAACAGCCACTGAGTAGTTCATATTCTCGGACGTTACAGGCAAAGAACCCGGGAATAGACTGAAGATGATAGAAAACACCATCCAAATAATGGCAGCCAAGTTCAAGAAAATTCCTAGAACCTTTCCCAACTTGAAAGGGCCATAATCTGATGGTTGCAGCTTGCTTCGGCCCCAAATCAGCATGCATACAACAGGCATTAAGTAGGAAAGGTACATTCCCGTAGCGGACATGGACAGGATGGCGTTGGACGCTGTGGGGTTGACCAAGTACAGCAAACCAAGCAGCAAATCGAGCACAAAAACCACAAGAACTGCATTGACTGGAATCTTGAGCTTAGTTTGGATATGCCCGATCCATGAGTGGAAGGGAGTAGCGTCATCGCGCGCAAAGGACCACAAAGTTCGAGAAGCAGAAGTCATGCCTGCAGCAGAAGCAGCAATTGCTGTCAAAGCCGATAC